CTGTGGGCCGTTTGAGTGGCTGACCAGAGCTAGTGGGGTATAAAGCAGTAGCAGATGTGGCTATGGGTACTTTCTCAGGGTAGGATGATAGGGCAGGTGCATCCACTAACAAGGCAGACTCTCAGTCGTGTTCAGCTGGTTCTGGTTGGCTGACAGTTGTAGGCTTGATGTTTCTGGCTGGTACCCAAATGGGCTGTCCCGCATGCTCTGGAAAGACACAAGCATATCCTCGGCCCTAGGTTAGCAGAAGCCTTTTTACAGGCGTTGGAATCCAGGGCCTGAATTCTGTGTTCACTTCGAGATTAACGGCAAACATGTGGGTGGGATGGGGTCTAGCAGCTGTCCTGAGAGCCTGGGTGCCTGGGGACTGCCACAAACGTGGGGATCCTCACTGGGTGCGGATGGGATGACCTCGCATTGGTTACTGCCTGGAGATCGTCTAAGTTCAGCCCATGGATATTTGGGGGTGGTTGTCTAGGGATTTCTGCATTGTTTGCTACATTGTCGTTTTCACTGTTGGAGCTCTCTCTCCCTAAGTTTCAGCTGTTGCCTGTGAGGCAGCAGCCTGAAGTGACAGGCTCTTATCACTCACAGACTCACTATATTTGTCCTCTGCTTACTGGGGGACATCCTTGATTCATTAGGTCAAGGCCGCATGCCCACACGGTGTCTCCGGAGCGTCACCTCTCTCGAGTGAGGGACAATGACATGCTTCCGAATTCTGGCATGATCAGTCCTTATGTGAATTCGCCGGGCGAACCGACAGTAAAAGGAGGAGCTGAGAATTGGCGTTAGGCTTCTGGGTGGTGTGTGCCTGCCTAACCTGGGGTGACTTAGACCGAGGGCAAGGACAAGGAAAGGGGCGTAGGAGCGGGTCCACAGGAACACCTGTCCTATTTTATACACGCAAGTGTTCAGCCTGATTCTAGAATCACAGACAAAAGCCAGTTAGCATCTTTTCGATTAAACTTGTTGTATTTTGTCTTTGACAGGTGAAGGAGGCTCAGTCCCACCATGGGGTCTGGATTGCACCAAGACTCAAAAAGAGGGCAAAGGCTGCTTTGTCGCTTGCAGGCCACACAGGAGGGGAGGAGAGAGCAAGGACCCAGTGACATGGAAGCCATGGCCTCCCAGTTCTGCTGTCACTTTTGCGAAGTCCTGAGAAGAAATCCCTGGAACTCCTTGTCACACGTGACAAGATCAGGTTGCTCTGAGCTAGGTAGCTCCGCTGCTCTCTTGGTCGAAACACAAACTGTGTTGCTGGTCCTTTGAGAGAGGAGCTGTGTCATTGGCTCAAAGGAGGCAGGAGCATGTGACGGTTCCAAGCTGCTTCCCCCATGGTGTGGGGGTGCAGGGGGCATTTTATAGATGACGCAGCAGACAGCTGGTGTGTGGAGATGCAGGTTGGGCAAGTTCTGATTGGAGGAGCTTGGAAAACAGCCAGCATGGCACTGGCTCCTGCATACAGCTGCTTTGCCAAGCAAAACGCTGAAAAAGGCAGAAGAGCTTTGGACTTCCATAGCCTGTAGCACTGGGGCTGGTGAAGTTTAAGTCAACGTCCTTGACATTCTCAGGGGCAGTAGGCCGGCTCCCTGGGTGAAATGGAAAACAGGGGGCAGGGGTTCAGGGCAATGGATTAAGCCACCGCTTGGTATGCCTGCATGACACATCAGAGTTGTCGGTTGGATTCTCAGCTGCTCCACTTACCCTCCAGCTCTCCTAATGCATCCTGGGAGGCAGCATATGATGTACAAGTGCCCTGGCCCTGCTGCTCATGTGGGAGCCCAGATAGAGTCCCTGGCTTGTGGCTTCAGCCTGGCCTAGGCCTGGCTGTGCGGGCACGTGGAGAGCGAAACCGTGGATGGAAGATCCCCATCTCTCTCTCTCTCCCTGTCACTCTACCTTTCAAGGAGAAGAAAATGATAAACACGTTTTTAAATTGCCAAAAAAGAGGACCGGCATTGTGGCACAGCGGGTTAAACTGCCTACCTGCTACACCAGCATCCTATAAATTTTTTTATTTTTACTTTTATTATTTTTTATAGAAAGCTTTTTTAATAAACATAAATTTCAAAAGTAGAACTTTTGGATTCTCCAGTGCATCCTGTAAGTTGAAGTGCTGGTTCGAGTCCTAGCTACCTGCTTCCCATCTAATTCCCTTGAACACCCCTCAGAAGGTAGCAGACAAGGGAACAAATATTTGGGACACTGTCACCATGTCTGAGACCCTAAGAGAGAAGCCTGGCTCCTGGCTTTGGGCTGTCCCATCCTCAATGTGGTAGCTATTAAAAATATATTTATGTCTTATTTGAAAGAGTGACAGAGATAAAAGAGAGAAAGAGAAAGATCTTCCATTCCTGGCTTCACTTCCCAGATGACCACAACGGACAGGCCTGGACCAGGCCAAAGCCAGGATCCAGGAGCTTCATCCGGGTCTCCCACATGGGAGCTGGGGTCCAGGCACTTGGGCCATTCTCTGCCTCTTTCCCAGGCGCATTAGTAGGGAGCTGGGTTGGAAGTGGAGCAGCCGGGACACGAACTGGTGCCCATACACGGGGTGCTGGCATTGCCGCCAGCAGCTTTACCCACAACGCCACAACGCCGGCCCCCTAAATAAATAGTGTTACAAATTCTAGTGTGAACAGATGGACAGGTGGGAGCTTGGTGTTCCACCGCCTTCCCGCTCTGCGCTGGTGCTTCAGTCACTACATGGGCAAATGTGGACTCCTGGAAAGGACCGGGCGGGGCCCTGGGACCCCTTCAGGGCCTCTGTCTTAAGGGTCCTGGGCGTTTCCTGCAGGCATCAAGGGAGAGAATCAGCAGAGAAAGGCAGACAGAGGACAAGGGACAAGGCCAAGCCCAGTGGCTGGGTGAGGAGACAGTTCCGTCAAAGGGTACCTGAAGGCCAAGGAGAAGAGAGGAGACACCTTGGCGTTCCTGGCCTGGGTGCACCTGTGCTCCCGGAAGTGCGCCGCCCTACTTCTGGCTCTGGAGGGCGGGACTCCCTTTGCCATCTGGGCTGAGCCCCCAGTCCCAGATGATGAGCCAGCTGGAGGGGAGGGAGTGGGATGCCCTGAGCGACGGGTCAGGAGCCACTGATAAGCGATGCTAGTTACTCCAGACCCTCCCTGGCCTCCATGCTTCTGTCTTCTTGGAAGACCTGCTGACTCAGAGGGGTCACAGGGACCAGTCCTGGAGACGCCAGACAACAGGACTCGGGGCTTGAGGTGGCCGAAAGATCCACCCTCGCGGGGCCGAAGGAGTCTGACACCCAATCTGAAGTCTCAGACCCGAGGGTGGGGGAGGGCTCCAGGACCTTTCTGCCATGGTGTCTGAGAGTCTGGGGCAGGGGCCCAGCCCCACCCTGCCCCAAGGAGCACCTGCACCCCCTCAGCCCCTCAGCTTCCTTCATGCTCCCTGGAATGACATCTCTTGGGAGGGGGGCAACTTGCAGCCCAAGTCACCCTTCTCAGAGACAGAGATGGTTTGAGAAGGCGCTGGCAGGTTGAGGCTGGCTGGCTGGCTAGACTTGCTAATTTATAAGATAGTCCCCATGATGTGATAGAACTCATAAAGTGGTATATGGTTGTACGGGTGTTTGCCATGCCATTGTTAACCTTTACTGCCTGCTTGTTTTTCGTTTTTTTTTTTTTCTTCGTTTTTTTTTTTTAATTTTGTATCAAAATATCAGGAAAGAGGGGGAAAAATTCTTTTTTTAAAAAATTTATTTATTTATTTGAAAGTCAGTGTTACACAGACGGAGAAGAAGACGCAGAGAGAGAGAGAGAGAGAGAGATAAAGAGAGAGGTCTTCCATGTGATGGTTCTCTCCCCAGATGGGGGAACTTCCATAGCGATCCATCGGATCGGCTCAGTTCTGGCCATTGCAACCATGTGGGGAGTGACCAGTGGATGAAGACCTTGCTCTCTCTCTCTCTCCCTTCCCACACTTAATAAATAAAATGATTTCATCAAAAGCTGCGGTGACCATGTCTCAAGCTTGTCCTGCCCCTCCTGGGCTCTGGCACTCAGCCGAGTGGACCCCACCTTGTCATCCCTAAGCTTTCCAGGAGGGACAGACCCTGCCCAACACCTGATCCCAAGAGGTTGACCTTGTTTGCTCAGGAGGTGAGCTTCCCTTGATAAAGAGCAGGAGGGAGGGCTTGGAGCTGGTATAAAAGTTCTGGAAGGTTCTAAGGGGTTACCTTGCACCTGAAGCTCCCAGGTGAGAGGTGTTAGGGATTCCTGGGTCTGCCTTTGACGGGGTGGGGATTCAGATCTGATCTGGTCTGGGGAAGGGGATGCCTGGATTGAGTGGCAGGGAGTGTTAGTGAAGTGGGCACCTGGGTTGAAGCTATCTTGGTGCAGAGATGTGTCAGCTGTCAGTTGAAGGACTAGGAACCTGGGACACTCAGGTGACTGGGAAAGGCCAGGCGTGTGTCGGTGGACAAAGAATCGTGACAAAGATCCCATCTGCTGGTTCACTCCCCCACATGGCCGCAATGGCCAGAGCTGGGCCAATCTGAGCCAGGAGCCTGGAGCTTCTTCCAGGTCTCCCAAGGGGGTGCAGGGCCTCAAGTGCTTGGGCCATCTTCCACCGCCTTCCCAGGGCACTAGCAGAGAGCTGGATCGGAAGTGGAGCAGACGGGACTTGAACCGGTGCCCATATGGGATGGCGGCTCCAGGGGCGGAGGACTCACCTACTGCACTCCAGCGGCCAGCTTGTCGGTGTTGGCTCTGATGCTGGGTTCAGGAAATTCAGCCGTCTCCAGGCTGAGGCCTATCCTCCAGTCCTAATTCAGAAAGTCCCCGTCCTGGCTGTGTCAGGACACAGCGCTCGCCAAGAGTGAGCGCTGACCTTCTGCTTGGAGGGGAAAAGGAGGGCGTGGCTACAGCCAGACCAAGGGCGGGCCAGAGACAGTTGGACCCTGGAACACCAGGTCTGGAGGATGACACTGCAGGCTGTGGACAGTGCTGTGCAACCTTGAGCCTGGGTCTGGCTAGGTGGGAGCTGAAGGGTCAGGCCACCCGGAGGCCAGAGGGAAAGGGGGAAACCTCCCCCTCTGCTCTCTTCTTTCCCCCTGCAGCCTGGCGATGTGGACCTTCATGCTCCTGGGCCTTCTCTGTGCCTCGGCCTCTGCCAGTGCCAGTAAGTGAGCCGCTGGGACTCTGGTGGCGGGTGGCAGGAAGGGGCCCCTGCTCGGCTGGTGGCCAAGGCTTGCAGGGCCGCCCCTGAGCGGTGGGAACTGGGAGGTCCTTGCCTCCAAGCCCCCCTTTCTTTCCACTGCAGTCCAGGCCAGGTCCTCCTCCTACAGTGGCGAGTACGGAAGTGGAAGAGGGGAGCCATTCTCCCACGCCGCCCTCCAGCTGCAAGGCCCCATCACAGCCATCCGTGTCCGGGTTGACAGCTTCAATATCGCGGGGTAAGGCTCCTCCGCATTCCTCAAGCTCTTACTAACTCAGGAAGTGCTCTTTCACTCTGGGCCACCTGTGCCTCAACCAACAGGTCCCTAGTGAGGCAGGATATGGGGATAGCTGTGAGAGGACTCGGCTTCCAGAACCGTACCCTTTGGACTCCTCCCTCCCCAAATATGCCTGGTGGTGGCAAATCATTAATAACCACTAACTCTCAGGGGCCTGGAAGTCGACCAGCCCTGCCCACCCCACCTTCTGCAGTTCAAAGTTTCTTTCCAATATCCCTGCTGGGTGCCCTGCAACTTTGCTCAATGCCTCTCTTGAGCAGTCCCCACTCCATTGCTAGTCGGAAAATTCTATCACGTGCAGAGCCAAAGTGTGTCCGCTAATGTGGATCTGCCTCCTGGGACAGCAGGGACAAGCCTCTTCCCTCTCCCACAAGGGAGCCACTCAGCTGTTAGAAAATCCCTTTGCTTCCACAAGTGCGGGAATGGGGGAGGGGCATCGTAGGAGGCTGGACTCCAAATTCAAGGCCTGCCATGTGCTGTGTGTGGGCGACTCTGGGCAAGCTGCCTTCCTTCTCTGCACCTGCTGTCAGCCAGGCCAGGAGCTGAAGTTCTTTGTGTGGTCCTCCAGGGCTCACCCGGGCTACACTTTTGGGGGAACTAGCAGGGACTGCTCATGCTAGTGTCCAGTTTGGAGGACTCCACGTGCAGGCCAAACGGTCCTGAACTCTGATGACCTAATCAGTGTCCCCGTTCCTGCCCTCCCACCCGTCCCCAGTCTCCAGGTGCGCTATGGCCAGGTGTGGAGCGACTACGTGGGTGGCAACCTGGGAGACCTGGAGGAGATCTTTCTGCACCCAGGGGAGTCGGTGATCCAGGTGTCTGGGTCATACGGTAACTATCTGAAGACCCTGAACTTTTATACCGACTACGGTCGCATCCTTTCCTTTGGGAAAGGCACAGGCGTAATCTTCTATGCTGTCCCCTTGGACCTGGACGCCGTGCTCCGATTCATCAGTGGCCGAGCTGGCTTATTCGTCAACGCCATTGGCCTGCACTGGGACACCATCCCAGAAACTGCCCCAGCAACTGCTGAGCCCGCCTCCTCCGTGGCAGGGCCCCGTGGTGGGGTGTGACAACTCCCTGATCACCATTCCCATACAAATGGCTCAATAAAAGGACATGGCTAAAGCTGGTGTGCATGTGGGTGTGTGCAGGCGGGACCCACTCTTGGAGGGCGGTGTGACTCTCAGCTCTGGCTACCTGCTGCTAAGAGTGGGAGCACGAGGGAGACAGGTGTTGAGAATCCTGGGCTCTTCCGTACGTCGCAAGGAGAGGAGATGCTGGTTTGTGCCAACTCTTTTCGGGGTTAGCTCTTGAGAATGTCTGTCCAAACAGGAGTTCTGAAGGGAAGGCTCAGCAGGGGCACACCGCCCTAGCCCCAGGTGTGCCTCTCTGGCGCCCTCCCCCCTGAGAAGGGGCTGGCTTCTCTGACCAAAGGCTGTCCCCTCTCCCTGGAGCTCAGCTGCAGGTGGGTGGCCTGCACCTCTGTCCTCCCATCTGTCCCAGATGCGATCTCCCTGCTGAAGTTTCGCCCCAGTTTGTGCTTAAGGACTCCACCCCATTCCCCAGGCCAGTTCTTCCTCGTCTTTACCCCTAACCTGGTGCTCTTGCTTAGCCCTCTCGGAACTGGCGCTCAGGCAGATGAGAAGCCCGTGGCTAAGACACACCCATGTCCCGTATTAGAGCGAGTGGGTTTCATTCCTGACTCCACCTTCCTGCTGACGTGGCTCCTGGGAGATAGCAGGGACGGTTCAGGATGGTTCAAGTGCCACCCACACGGGAGAGCCGGATGAGTTCTCCTCCAGCTTCTGCCCCCACTCCCACCTCTCTAACAAAAAGAAAACAAAAATGGACAGTCTTTCCTTAGGGACCCACCATTTCAACAGTGTGAATTTGGCCAACACCACAGCCTAAATGGAAATTCTGGGGATAGGCACTTAGTATGGTGGTTAAGTTGCCACTAGGATCTGAGTCCCATATCTGAGTGCCTGGGTTCATGGCCTGGCTCTACTTTTGTTTTTTAAGATTTTTTCAAAAATGTATTTATTTGAGCGTTAGAGAGAGTCAGAGGCAGAGAGAGCGAGCGAGAGAGAGAAAGATGTCTTCCACCTGCTGGTTCACTCCCAGATGGCTACAACGGCCAGAGCTGGGCCGATCTGAAGCCAGGATCCAGGATCCAGGAGCTTCTTCTGGGTCTCCCACGTGGATACAGGGACCCAAGGACTTGGAGCATCTTCTACTGCTTTCCCAGGCCATAGCAGAGAGCTGGATCACAAGTGGAGCAGCCGGGTCTCGAACCGGCGCCCATACAGAATGCCAGCACTGCAGGCGGCAGCTTTACCCACTACTCCACAGCCTGGCTCCACTTTTGATTCCAGCTTACTATTAATGCCAACCTTGTGGGAGGCCTGCATTGAGTTCTGGGCTCCTGGCTTCAGTCTGGCCCAGCATGCCTGTCGTGGGCATTTAGGGAGTGAACCAATGGATGGGACATCTCTGTCTGCCTTTCATAGGGCATGAAAATAAAGTTTTTACAAAAGTAAAGCCAAAGTAGAGACATTTTCATCTTTGATTGCCCCAAGTACAAGGGGTTGGTTAGAATTCAGGGGAATCATTAGGATGGCTGGATAGAGTCAGTGAGGACACGAAGTGGCTTTGGGAAGAATTTCCAGGACTCTAAAATACTGGCAGTTTTTGGTTTTGGTGGTAGTGGTGGGCAGTAACATATTGCTTCCCATAGATTTCTTTGTGTTATAGGAATGCAAATTCATATTTCTTCCCAATTAGACAAAGAGAAGTTACTGACATGTAATTTTGTAAAAAGAAATTTATAAACCCCAAGCACTATAAAAAGAAGCCCACCACTAGCATGTTTTTATAACAATTCCTTGGGTGCCAGATGTTGCTGTGGATCCATTCTGAGAGGAGGATCGAGGTGGGGGCAAGAGGCGTGGAGTCACCACACAGACCCCAGGTGTGGGTGAAAGCAGGCCAGAGGCGAGAAGCCTGAAAACTCATTTATTTTAGTTGGTACAGCAGCTTATTGAGCCAAGGCAGCCAATCTGGTCAAGGGGTGGTCTATGCTCTAACCAATCACAGCCTGTTGCCAGGCAGTTTTCAAAGCCATCCAATCATAGCTCGTTGCCAGGCAGGCTCTGTTGCCATGTCATTCCTGAAGCCATCCAATCACAGCCTGTTGCCAGGCAGTTTCCATTGCCTGCGGCCATGTTGGCATGGCCTTCTCATTCCACCACAGAATATTATGCCATTGGAATTCTTTTTGAGCTATAAATAGCATGGATCTTACCCTTTTCAAGTGTGAAAGTGATTTTTAGTATATTTGTAAGGTGTGTACATCCAGCATCGCATATTCCAGAATACCTAAGTAAAAAAAAAAAAAAACCCGAGGCCATGAGTTGTCTCCCCAGCCTCCCTTGAGCCCAGCAGAGTCATGTTCTCATGTGTGAACCTGAGGTAGAATTAAATCAGGCTGATAACAAAGCCATTGCCTTACATACTCATTTGTGGTGAGAACATTTACGATCTACTTTTAGCAATTCTGACGAAAGTCACCATTCCATGGGATCTATTGATCACTAAAGGCTGCTTCTTCCTTTCACCTGAAACTTTGTATGCTCTGATCAACATCTTGCCTCTCTCCATCCAGTGTTCTGCCAAGCCTCTCATGACTACCACTTTTTTTTTGTAAAGATTATTTATTTGAAAGGCAGAATGACAGAGAGAGGGAGAGACAGGGAGAGATCTTCCATCCACTGATTTACATCCCATACAGCTGCAATTGCTGGGGCTGGTCCAGGCTGTAATCAGGAGCCTAGAATCTCATCTAGGCCTCCCACGTGGGTAGCAGGGACCCAAGCAGTTAGGCCACCCTCCATTGCTTCCCCAGGTGCATCAGCAGGAAGCTGGATCAGAACTGGAGCAGTGTGGTGGAATGAGAGGGCCATGCCAAGGTGGCCACTGGCAAGTGAGCATTAGTTACTCAGGAATGGCTTTGGAAACTGCCTGGCAACAGGCTGTGATTGGATGGCTTTGGAAACTGCCTGGCAACAGGCTGTGATTGGATGGCTTTGGAAACTGCCTGGCAGGCTGTGATTGGATGGCTTTTGTATGAGGTGAGCAGTGGCCCCTAGAATTGGGGGTGAATCTTACTTGTAGGTTCTCCATTAAAGCTGCTGGCTTGTGGAGATTTGTGATCCGTAGCGAGGACCGCTTGCATTTGTGAGAGTACATCTCTCCCCCATACGGTCATGGAAACTTCAGCAATCAGTGGAAAGATGGTTCCTGTATCTCCATTGTCATCTCGCCAAGTTACAGTTGTGATGACCTGATTAGCCAATTTTAATCCTCCAACACCTTGGAGGTCAGGTCCGGGTGCTGTCTTCCAATGTTGTATTTTTCTGGCATCTCTAGCTTTTAAGACAGTAACATCTGTTCCCGTATCAATTAAACCCACAAAGGCAATGTCATCTAAATATAGGGTCAATTTCAGCCTCAGATTGAAGATGGGCATCGACCAGTTAATGGTAGTGGGACTCCCTCTTACTTGCTGGG